TAGAGTGAATAAAAGAACGAGTTTTAAAATACTTGGTTTTGGCGATGAAAGATGGAAGACAAAACTCGACGATGGCAAAAACACAAACATTCACCAAACAATCAGTTTAGCGCCCGTGTGCGCGCATACACAAGACAAAGATAGCCAGAGCCAGCAAGACCGAGTGCAAGCGACGGATATGGAAAGCGCAAGAAATGAAGATGAAGAGAAACAGAAAGCAAATAAAATTGTACACGCAAATAAATTCGCGTATGACTATCATTTGCTATCAACGTGAATATAAAACAGAAACCGCGAAAACAGCCACGACAACTCAAAAAGAAGTAATAAGTGAAAAACCGCACAGACAAATGAAACTAACGTCAATTAACAAAATTCAAAGTAAACGTCAACAAAAATATGATACGACATTGAAATTGTACGTATCGCAAAAATCACGAGCATCACACGTATATAAACCAACAAGCGCGCAACATTCGTCATCGAACCGGAAAAAGGCCACCATATAAACAGTTTATGGGAAAAATACGATTTCAATGTCTCTTGATCAAAGCATTTTCCGTGACACATTCATAATATATAGATATCTTCAACAAACGGCGATGTCGACGATGGTCGATGTTGCTGTTGCTGCTTGGTTTTTTTACGTTTCAACTGCAGAAAACATTTCAATTTTCATGCATTTGCACACATTGGTTTGCCAGAGTTGTGCGTGTGCCATTCGCAAAAGCGCGCTAGTTTGGTTGCCAGTTCAATTTACGCCATTAGGTTTTTTCCCCCTTTCTCTCGCTCACTTTCTTTTTGTTGCCTTGTACGTTTGTACTTTTGCAATCGAAATAGTTCGTGTTTTGTCGTTGTGTTGATTGTTTTTTTTTTCTTTTCTTTCTCTGTGTGCTGTTTGCTCGTTGTTTAAAAAACGCAGCGTCATAAAGCAATAAAATCCAAGAGCAAAGTGTGAAGCGATGCGCACATGAAAAGCGAACATGATCAACGAAAAATCAGCCAAAAGCGTGAACTCTAGCACAATACGAAATCACGATTTTCCAAAAACTACAAATAAAAAATGAAAATAGCAAAATAAAAAATTGAAAGAGAAAGAGGGACAAAAACAGCGTCGAAAAAAGAAAGCAAAATCATGTACACCAGACATAAAATCGCACATAGTTAAAGTCTAACGAATGGCTTCAATATTACTACTTGTTATGGAGTGTGAGTGTGGTGTGTGTGAGATACAGAGAAGCAGCACACGCACGCACACACTGAAAATGGTTTAGCAAAGGAAATAAAATACAGAATATTAAAAAAAAAATGTAACGCTAGCTACAGCGATTCAAATAAACCATAATAAAGTAGAGAGATGGCTTGGTGCCGAATTTAGTTGGCGACATTTTATCGTTTCATTTGGAAATGCTTTCAATTCATGTTTGTTCTTCCTCTCTTTCTCTCACACACACACATGCTCTTTTTTACAGTCGAAATCGTCTTTTATTTTCCATGCGTTTTTCTGGCTACTCTGCTTCATGACACTTCTTCGGCTCATTTCGATTCGGTTGTTTTTGTTGTTGCCATTTCGTCAACGACCGAGTGTGATTTTTTTCTCTCTTACTTTCATTTACACTCCATCTTGACCCATCCCCATGCGTTCTTTTTTCTGTCGTCTTCTCCCGTTTTCCAAGCAAACGAAACGGTTGTGTGAGTTTTTGTATTCCGTTGCTCGCAGCTTATAAGATCTTTTCAATTATTATCTGCACAATGACTATCTTCAGACGGATCTTTCTTTTATTCCTTCATTCGTTCGTCGAATTTTTGGCGTTTGCCATTCGTGCGCCGATTTTGTGAAATGCTCACGTTATTGCTCTCTCTCTCTCTCTCTCTCTCTCTCTCTCTCTCTCTCTCTCTCTCTCTCTCTATCTCTCTGAGTGTGCTTTGGACAAATGCTTTTGATTCTTTTGTGTCTTGATTACGGTCGGTTTATTGTGTGGCCTAAGCACTTCCATAAGGTAAATAGTTCGGGAGAGGTGGCCAAGCAGAACTGCATCGAAATGTTCGCAACGAAAATGTCATCAAGCTTTTCTTCACCTTAGTCGTGGCACGAATGCAAAAGGTGGCCGCCATGATGAAAAATTTCGGTTTTCATTGTCATTTGATTTCGATTATCTGGAAAGGAAATACGAATTGCGTTCTGGGTATGCGAAAATGTGTGTGTGTGTGTGTGTGTGTGTGTAAGTGTATGGTGTGTCGGTTTTAAAATATGCTTGTTTCGTGTTGTCAGCTCGTGTAATCTATTGGAAACGGAATGACAAATTAGAGGCTGCGTATTGCGTATGAACGTGTTCCGCTTGAAGGGTGTAAAATGACGATATTTGAAATTGTTTTGAGTGACATTTTTCACTTGGCTCCAACAACGACGATGACGACGACGACGACAACAACAACGCACCAGCAAACTAGAGAGAACGACCTAGTAAACTGATGGAATTTCGATAGTCATCTCTATAAGTGCCGCATTGAGAGCAGTTCATGCCTGAAAAAATCAACCAAACCATCATCAACAACAGCAACAACAAAAACGGAAAATACATGTACTACAAGTGAAATATACTTGAGTTCATCTCGTTTATTTAGTTCATTCGTCTAAACTTTTTCCCGCGCGCGCCTTTTGTTCACTTCCATATGTGACGAGAGAGAGAGAGAGAGAGAGAGAGAGAGAGAGAGAGAGAGAGAGAG